ATTTCTTTTTCAGGTCTAACTGAAACTTTTCAAGCTTTGACCTGCTTACCTCGCAAGCTAGGAGAAATTGGGGACATGTGTGTCATACTAGCAAAAACCTCATTCCAATGCCAATCTTGGAAAGTCATACTTTTCAAACAAAGAATGCCCAACCACCAGCTTCAGTACAGATTGTGTTAGGTTCCCTTCCCCTTTGTCTCTCATTCTGCTCTAACTGAGCCAAAATTGTAAGCACCTACAATTCCAAGTAGAAGCACCTAATAGTTTACATGCTGGGGATTCCATTTTATCAACAGCTTTAGATACAAAGAAATCACCATGAAACTACATGCCAGAGGCTTCAACACCAACATGAATAACAATTACTTAAATGGAATTCATCAGCCCTCACTACAATCAGAGTCCTTTCCCAACCTTCTAATTACCATCAGCCACAAACAGCACTCTCCTCCCAGCTTGATTGCCCTTCATAGTTAATCAAACAGTTGCCCATCCCTCCTCAGAAACAAACTGTGGCTTGTGAATGACCTGATCAGAGTGGGGTGTGTGTGTGGGGGGGAGGCGGTGTTTGTTAGACACCTCACTTCCTCTTGCTCCAAATCTGTTGGTTCTGGGTGTCCAGGAAAGGACTCCCAGAGTGTGCATTTTCAATGCACTCTACAGTGACTCTTTGAAACATTGGAGTTCTAAAACCATCAGAATCTGGCTTCTCCAACTCTTCTGCTGTTCTCTGAAATGGATCCCATGACTGTACATTAAAAAGCTGGCAACAAGGGGCCCATGAGATGGGTCAGTTGGTAAAGGCACTGCTGCACACACACAAATAAAATAAATGTAATTTTTTGTAGTAAGGAAACTAGCAAGAGTCTGATAGCTGAAGTCAGTAGTTCTCAACCTTCCTAATGCTGTGACCTTTTAGTACATACAGTTCCTCATGATACAGTTTGTGGCGAGCCCCGAACATAAAATTACTTCATTTCTACTTCATAACTGTAATTTTGTTACTGTTATGATTCATAATGTAAATAACTGATACACAGAATATTTGCTATGCAATCCCCAAAGGGGCTGTGACCGACAGGTGGAGACCCACTAGCTTTAACGTCTTCCTCTCCAGCACAGCCTATGTAAAGAAGTACAGTACTCTTTTTTATTACAAATTCATTTTACTAAAAGAATGTGTGAGTAGTTGTGTGTGTGTGTGTGTGCATGTATGTGTGTATGTGTTGTGTGTGTGTGTGTGTGTGTGGAGAGAGAGAGAGAGAGAGAGAGAGAGAGAGAGAGAGCATCCTCTGTTCACATCTCAATATAGTAGATCTGGCTTTCCATAAAAAAATTTATGCTCATACTGTGTTCTTAGCCAATAATTCAAAACAAAACCAACAACAAAAATTCTTTTTTATTTGCAGCTAAATTCTCATGAGAATTTGTTACTGGTCTGGCCTAAGTCATACACTACTCATAAACATCCTTGTGACTAGAATTCTCTCATTAGCCCATATTAGATCACATACAGATCTACCTGGAGACCTGGGAATGTAAAAGTTAGTCATAAAGTACATTATCCATGAAACACCCAGGTTGTAATCACAGGAGTGTAAATCAGTGCACTTGTTCACTGCATGAGGGCCACCTCGCAATGCTCTATGGCTATCTTGTATACGTGTTCCTCCTAAGCCACAGTTCCTTTGAGGAAAATATGCTGTATCACTGCTTTCTTCTTCACTCCTAAGGGTTCCAATAAAACTTCCAAACTCTTAAATGCAAATTCAAGGAGGAAAATGAATAAATTGGCTCATAAATGTAATACAAATTTGCATCATCTGTGTTCAGTTTTATGAATATATTTAATTACCTTTCTCCAAAGGAATGTGAAAATATATTATTCCAAACAAAATATCATAGAAAACAGAATCAGTCTCTAGTTGATCCTTCATCAGCTTTTGAGTTTTCTTTTTTTATGCAAAAGATCATTTCAAATATTAGGATTCTCCTGGATATATGTGACGGTTTCAAGCACAAAACAACACAGCTATATAACAGTAATTACAGCACAGAGACTACTGTCACATGACGGCCATCTCCAGTGTTTTAAAAGCATGGCTCCTGATCAATTATTCATAGTTCACGACTCATTGCTATCTTATTCTTTTTAGACGAATCAACAGTCACGACTGTTCTGTTTCACCCTCTTGGCTTAATCATATTTTAGCTTCAAAAACGCTAGTGCTAGTACTAAGAAACTTAGTGGAAGTAAACACTTCACAGACTACTTAATACCAAATACACCACATAAAAGCAGAATGGCCAAGAAATGTTAACAGCTACACACCATTCTTCCTTTCCTAATTACTTAAGTGAGACACAAATATATTTCAAAGATGGATGATCCATGAAAAGGGTAATTAGAACATTGGAAAATCCTTTATTACTCTTTATATGAAAATTAACATGTGAAGGACCTCTTAGGTTTGACTTTTACCTAAGTCAGCGTCCCCAGTCCTCTTTGAAGAAGAGATGCTTAAATGGGTAGTGTAGGAGAGGATAAGAAAATGAACAAGGGAGAGTCTTGGTGACAAGCCTTCAAAACTGTGAAGACTGAGCACTTGAGAGCTGCATTTACAGAGAAACTACCTCTTCCTCCTGCCTTTCCTCCTAGAAAAACAGCATGTGCCAGAGATGGTCCAGACAGAAGAAGTAAAAAAAAAAAAATGTGCAGCCATCTCTTACTGTTCTCTAGTCTCTTTACATGGGCTCTCTCTTTTGGTAGAGTCCAGAGAGACTAGCCAAAAAGAAACCCAAGAAAGGAGACAGGCAGTGGCCATCCTGGGACACAGCAACAGGCAGAAAAAAAATATAAACTGGTTAGAGAAAGAGGGGGATGGCCAGAAAAAACATAATGATGGAGATGTCAAGGAACACAGTCTTAACTTCAGAGATGTTCAAGGAGGAAGAACTGGGCATGCAAAGCTTTCCCAGTGTGCTTCATTTCACTGTAAGTCTTCCCGTCAAAGAAACGTAGCTGGATGTTGCAAGGAAAGCAGAATCTGTGTGATTATTTACAAACTCAGAGGCTCACGAGCACTTGTGGAAACCCCTCAATAAGCCAGGCTAGTACGCGATGGCTTGATCACCATCCATGGGATGTGATGGGTTTCCAAAATAATCCATTAAGGCTCTTCCTATCAAGGTCTCTATGCCAGTTTGTCACCCCAGGACCTTGGTATCTGGGCCAGAAGAGAGGGGATATGGAAGCTGATAGCTGTAACTGATAGAGTAAGTTTTGTTTCATGGTAGGGTCGTGTGTGCCTTTGGTTCCTGCCTGACTCTGTCAAGCCATACTGAGCTTCCATTTCCCACACCTTAGACCGTGGCTTATCTCACTGGTCTCAACACATTATTGTGACAGGTATTGCTAAAATAAAATTTTCCAAAAACCTAGTTTTACCGTCTTACGGTATAGAGAGACTGGAAAGTATGAGACTACTGTGTGCATTGCAGTCTGTGAAAGCTGCTAAAATGAAATGAAAAGCTGAGTAGGCGGTTTATAAGGAACAGACATTAATATCTGACAATTCTGGAGGCTGGGGGAGTCAGTCTCTGGGCATCAACAGATTGCAGAGCTCAGCCAAACCTTACCACATAGATAACTGACAGTGTCTGCTCACTGAGTCTCCATAGGTGAGAGGGTCCCTCAAATGTCTTCTGGGGACTTTATTTCCATTCACGGGGATATAAAGTGGTTACTTTCATGTAGGGACTTCACTGAATAATAGATGTCTAAGTTACTGGAAAAATTCTTTCTGGATGTGTGACAGAATACTTCTAGACAAGATTAGCATAACTCTGTATCTGAAACTTCAAAATGAACAGTGTAGTTGGTTGGCCTGATGCTGCTTGTATTCTGATGCTAATTTGAGCCCTCAAAATTAGCTTCCCCAGAGACAAGAGAGTTCCCACATAGATACTAGCTAAGTGACCCTGCCCCCAGTTAATTATGATTGGAAAATAAAGATGCCAGCAGCCAATAGTTGGGCAAAATAAACATCAGTGGGTTTAGGTTTTCTGGGCTTGGGACCATGAGGAGAAAGAACATACAGGAGAGGAGAAAGGAGAAGCTGCCATGGGTTAGCTGAGCCATTAAAATGTGACCATGTGGGCTAGCCAATTGGAGTTAAGAGCAGCCCAGATGGGACATAGTAAATAGGAAATAATAACTCAGGGTTATCAATAGGAAATTAGACTCTAACAGCATGGAGGGTAGGCAGCTGCCCAGCTATTGTGCTGCTTAAGGCATATTGTAAATAGAAAAGCTATGAGTGTGTCCTTTATCCGGGAACTCAATAACCATAGGCAGTATAGAACCCCAGGGCAAGGATTTTAATATTTTCTACTACAGAACAGGATTCAGTCTCAAGAGAAAAATGAGACTATTTTTATAACTGAAATTCCTGAAAGTCCTGGACCTACTTGATATGTCATTGAAGAAAAAAAAATTCCACTACCTAGCAGTAAGAAATACGGCAGAGAGCATAGGTGTTTCAGGAATCTAAGAAACCAACACCTCGGAGACCAATAGCAAACACTTCTTTTTTTATTAGTTTATATTAATTATACAAAATTATGGATTTATTTTGACACTTAATTATGCATTGAATTCTCCTTGACATTTTTACCTCACCTTTCTCTTTCCCTTTGGTCCCCACAAGGACCTTAGCTTCATGTCGTGACCTTAGAGTGTGATTTTCTAGTACTAGCCCCACGGGGAACAGAGTTTCCAATTAGAATTTCAGAAGGGCACAAGCATCTACTCTGTACCCGTGATCAACTAGCACCTATGTTTATTAATACAATCCTGTTTTTAATGTTTTTATCTCCTCAAATCTGTTTCTTTTCTTATATATCAGACTATTGTGTGAGGGTAGATATCTCTTTCCTCTAAACCAAACGACTTATTGACTATTTGACGTTTTTCTTGTCAATAAAATAAAAATAACTTTACTGCCCCTAGAGGATTTACAGGTATGGCTGCTGTGTCACATGTGCGTCAGGAGGTGGCAGAGAGGAGAGAGGCTATGTCTATGCTCAATGTTCTGACCTGTGAACATCTGAGTGATTAGTAGCCTACCATTCCCTGAAAATAGCAAGCCTAAGATGGACCAGGCGTCAGGCTCCAGGAGGGGCTGAAAATGGAGCTAGCCTAAGATGACCACCAATCTTGTGCCTCACAGGCCTGGGACTGGGGACAGGCCATACCTGAAATGACCCCTGTTCAGTGCACATAATACACATAAATGCAAGGACATAGCACTCATCAATCTACTCCTGAGATGATCCCAGACACTCAGAGACCCTGGGTACCACTTAGAGGAACATGCAAATGATGGAGAAATAGGAGAGAGAGAAACCAAAGGATATGGGTGTAATAAAGGGAGGGAGGCAGAACTGGAGAGTCAAGGGTAATGAGGAACACCCTGACGTGAGTAACTGGTGATGCCAGATGGGATCATGGTGGGGTACTGGCCTACGTTACCACCTAGGGCCACATCTGGGTTCATGGCCCTACAGCAGCAGGGATCTGAAAACATCAAAGGTCAGGTGATGTCCCAGGTCTGGGCTGCTGCAAGGGGATATATTGATGTCTGGGGGCTATGTAGGGTTGGCTCCACATCTCACCTGGGCATCATAGAAAATCTGGCCCTGGGTGCTTAAGAGCAGGAGAGTTGACCCTGTCCTTAGCCAACTGCATACTTGGGAAAATGGTGTGCAAACCAGCACATTACAGGAGTTATGGGTGAGCTGCCCTAAGAGAGAGTAGCCCTACCACTGGTCTCCTGTGAAGTGGCCTGGATGAGGAAGAAATAACTTCCTCCCTTCTTGTGGCATCACCAGCAGTGGATGAGACAACTTGCCCTGAGATCATGAAGGCAGGAGAGCTGACGCTGTCTCTTACACGCTACAGCACTTGGAAGAGTGAGTCTTACTACATCTCACCTGGACAGCACAGTAAAGCTCGCCCTGGATGCAGAGATTGTGGAAGAGCCAGCCCAGATGACGGGAGCACAGCAGAGCTGCTTTTGACTCTTGTCTGCTCTGTGGTGGTGCAGACAATTGAAAGAGGTGGAGGGACAAAGTAGCCTCCTCACATCCCTAGTCCCTCACCACCTCTGGCAGGCAGAAAGTCTGGTCCACAGAGTCAAGAAAGAGGGTGAACTGGCCCTGTACCTCTCCTGCTGCAGTACTTGAGAGATCTAGCTCTGCATCTCTCCTGGGCAGCACAGTAGAATTGGCCCTGATGGCATGGGTTGAAATGAGCCACCCCAGAGGTCATGAAAGCAGGAAAGCTGGCTCTGTCCCTTGCAGTATTAGAAGTGTCATCCAGGACAGAGCAGGAGAGCTTGCCCAGTGGTCTCTGTACAGGAAAGTTGGCAGGCTGACCAGCTCAGATATCTCTCAGGTCCAGATGCAGGACTTTGAATTGGTCCACTCGAATATCTACTCCATGATGAACTGCTGGAGGACATGAAGCAACCAGTCTACAGATCTAAAACTACAAGATGCCATGACACGGCGTACCAACAGGATATGCGAGAGGTGTCCCAGTAAGGGTCCAGTATTATATAGAGTAGCAGAAGCCAGAGGCCTTGTACCTGACAAATGAGTCATTGCAATGAACATTTTCAAAGAAGTGTAGACAAAAGGGTCTACTGTGGGACACACTGTGACACATTAGGGATTGATGTCCATGATATGAAGTACACAAAGAACCAATAAAAATGGTTTTTTTAAATAATAAATAAATAAATTCTTGAAAATGTGAAGGTAAAGAATTTAGAGAGAACATTATATTAGAAAACATGTAGAGTACACCGATGTTAAGTAATCTGTGCCCAGGGATCTTTGGGGAATATTTCACTCAGTTCAAATCATTAAACATTTATGTAACACTGTGTGACATCCACAGAAAATTGCCAATAAGTTACACAGGCTTTTATATTTTGCTTGTGTTCCTCCATCCCAAATTATTTTATTTTTTAAATTGTACATATTTGTGCTGAATTCTCTGCAGCTTGGCACCTTGACCCAGACTAGAGGTAACAAGGGGATAAAGAAAGTACAGATACACATACAGAAAATCTGGGACCAGACAGCTTGCACTTGCTCTAATGAAGCACACAGCACTAGGCAACAACCCAGAACCTTAGAGTGTTTATTGGGTACAGCATAGGGGAGGGGTTAGACAGTGTCAGAAGAGGTCTCTGTAGGAGAGTAGTCTCAGGCCACAACCATCTTGGAGGAAGAGCCTGCAGTTGGTACTTTTTGCACTCTGGCCAATCCTTCCTGAACATGGTGGCACACTGTCAACATCTCACTCAAGCCAAAGAAGGCTTTGCCTTCACTCGGAGTCTCACCTTAGGGGAAAAGCTTTAGCAGTTTCCCATGGTCTGAGGCCTTGGTCCTTGACATGGCTGTTGCGATGTCAACAATATGCATTCATTCAGGACTTCATCTGCCTCTTACACATGAGTACAGCACAACAATCTAATATGTAAACAACAGGCAAAAATGTGTGATAATCACAAGTTAGAGCAATTTATGTATATGCACAGATTTTATTTTGGAACAAGAAGAGGCAGATGATTCTTAATAGAATATAAATATGAGGTGGTCGTAAGTGAGAGACAGAAACAATATCCAGAAAGGTTCTAAAAGGAAAACAGTAAGGAGACGCTTAGCTGATGAGCATCTTTCTCTTAGACTTTTCTTTAAATCCATGTGTTGTCCCTGCTTGCTGGATTACATTTTCTGTGGCATTCTGACACTCTCCTCAGACCATATCCCTGAGCCTCCTACAGCAAACAAAATAACTCTTCTGACATAACAAGGCACATAAGGAATGTGATGCAGAAGGAAGGCCAGTGTCTGTGATACGCAACAGCGAATGCCAAGGCCCGAAGATTTACAAATTGCTTCCCAGAGTGGGCATTCCAGCAATTTTCACTCACTTTGAAGGTTTCTCAAGAGCAAAGAATGTTTTTACTCCTAACAACAGCCTCACTTGCAGCAGGAGTGCAGTGTACTGTGTATATCCAAACGCCAAAGCTAATACAGAGCCCTGTGTATATCCAGACACCAAAGCTAATAAAGCAAACCTGATAAGAGTGGGCTCAGAATTGAATCTTCCTCCAAATTATCTTGTTCTCTGCACTGGGAATGAAGTGTTTAGTTCACATTCGCAAACTGTGCATTGAGGACTCATTGGCAAAAAAAAATGAAATAAAAATAAAAGTAAGCGGATGGCTTTGTATGAAGAACAGAAAGCTGAAATTTAAAGAGAAACCTTCATAAGGGAGCTAGATTTTTCTTTCCTTCATCCACTTGAAAGATAGAAAGTAAGTGACTTGGCCCTGTCTGGTCATTTCAAAATTTTGTAGACCACCTCCATAAGGAAGGACAATAAAGACACTCAAGTAGCTAATGTCACAGCAGCTCAGTAAGAAGTACACTGAAAGACAATTCCAAAGTAAATGTTACTATTATTTGTGCAATGGCCCGTGTCATTTTTTGCCATCCTTAGAAAACTACCATATATAGGCAATCATGTTAGAGAAGACTGGATTCTTCTTCAGCAAATACTGAGAAATTGAAGTTGCTCTGAGTTCGACTTATGTTAGGAAATACAGCTACATCTGGATGAAAACTGTCAGATGACTGAAACGACACATGTTAGTACACATCGCTTCTGTTAGATAACCCCTGAACAGAACGGAACACACAGGAAGTCCAGAATTCCACCAACTGGACATAAGGACTCACATCACAAATTCTAGTCTGTTTTAGAGATGGTACAGTATGCCATAACCCGACAAAATCGTTCTAGTTGTTTCCTTTCCTTAGGAAGTACATGTTAAATCTCCTAAAGACTGGTCGGTATTGTCAATTTTCTTGAAAAACTATGTGATGCTAAGCTATAATTTAATTGCTTCCTAAAATTTGTAGATTCACCGTTAGGTAATAAAATGCCAAATGAAATGTATAGTAAATTATATTTTTTCAAATGAAAGATTGGGAAATATTTAAAAGTTCCATAATTGTAATTTTTGGTGAAGGCAGGGGAAAACAAGCATCCTACAACCGTGAACTGGGGAGGCAGGAATGCTGACATTCAAGGAGATGTGCTCCAGCAGGCACTCATTCCAAGAACATTGCTTTTATTTTTCTTACCTACAGGACATTGTTCCCATGGACAGTGTCTGTTGTTAAGAGATCATTTATAGCAACCAAATAATTGTTTTAGAACTAGATATTCTAGGATAAGTATGAACTCATTGACTATTTAGTTTTAGAATAAGATAAATATATATGTTATTTTCCTACCTGGGGCAAAATAAGTAGATTCACATCTCTTGCTCCTGTATTCATAATAACCAAGTTAAACACATAAGTCTCCAGTAACATGTTAACTAATAAATAAAATATGATATGTTTGTAGAATGAGGTTTTGTTAAGATATAAGAAAAAATTATGTAATTACATAGAAAATTGATGAATATGGAGAATATCATACTAAGGTAAATAATCTAGTCTCAGAACAATAAATACCACATTTTTTTCTCATTTGTGGATACCAGATCTTTACACATACATAAAACTATGTTATGTGTGTACACACATATATAATAATATATATGCATATACACACATGACAACAAAATAGAAGGGTGGCTTAAAAAAGGAAGAAGAGCAATGGGAGTTGGGGTGGAAGAAGAAAAAGAGAAAGAGGAGGGTACTGTTAGTCAAGTACAAGATATACTTGAAAGAAAATGTATTCATGAAATCCAGAACTATGTACAAAATAGACATCAGTAAAAATTTTGAAACACCGTGAACAATAATGAAAGATTTGGGTAAACGTAAATTGTACTTGTGAAAGCATATGATGGAGCCATTGCAAATATCTATTAGTCCTACATGTCCTGCGTGAACTGATGAGCAGTAAATAAACTAAAATGGGGACATCAGAGAAGCAGGAGGGATTCGTGTGCTAAAGTTCTGTAATAAATATTTAAGTTGTAGATGTTTTACACAGTGAGAAGTGCAAGTCTGGTGAGGTCTTGCTTCTCACCTCGTG